CCTCTCTCCCTCTGCTGCTGACCTCTGCCAGGCTGGACCCACACCCATCCTGCTCGCCACTTGGTGAGTCCTTTGTCAACCTTCAAGGCCCAGTCTAAGGGTCCCCTTTACTGGGAAATTTTCCTAAGCTGCCCTCAACTATGAGAAAAGAAGAGTCCCTCCTTTTGTTCTCATATGCCCTTTTAAGAAAATACATTGCGAATAATGCTTATTCTGCAGCATTATAGAATTATTTGCTCAGACATTCTTGCTAAGTTCAAAGCTGCATTCAAAACACTGTAGCAGGGCTGGTGAGCTGGCTCAGTGGTCTAAAGCACCTACTTAGAACAAGCTAAGCTAAGCAAAGCACAGGGACCGTGGTTCAATCCCCCAGCACCACATGCCAGCCAGCCCCGCCCCCTGGTGGGCTGAGCTGGCCACACACACACAAAATAAATAAATAAACAAATAAATAAAAAATTTATTAAAAAAACAAAACAAAACACTGTAGCAACCTTAGCTGTGAGCCTCTCCGAGCCTTGCCTCTCCTTATCTATTCTTATCACTAAAACAACCTTGATTCCTGATCAAGTCGGTGGCTACTTTGATTGAAGACCAAGTATTTCCACTTCTCTTGTGGTTAAGGCCATTGGTGTAACACCCAGAGCCACAGCAGCCTTGTTGAATTGAGGGATGACATTAAACTGACATTGTGCGCAGAAGCTAGACATGGAAGAGAAAAAAGGTGGGCCTGCGTAGGCTCCTGGCATGGTGTATATGAATTGCAGTCAAACACTGTATTACACTCACAGCATACTGATTGATTAGCTGAACACAGATTGAAAACTGAGTTTTATTAAGTTCTGAGCTGTATTAAACTAGGTAGTATTTATTTCTTGAATATGCGACCACCAGGCCAGGATCACCCCACAGATCCCTGTGGTGTCCGTCTTGACTGAACTGTCCAAGTGCTCTTGTTGCCCTGGTCATGTTGCTGTCCATGTCCCCTTACCCTAGTGGGACCTTTGCTTAGATCATGTACTAGGAGCTGGTTATTCAATCCTTGTAAATTGCAAATAACCACTTAGGAAGAGCACAAGGTCAGGGTTCAGCCATTTCGCTCACCCTCTGAAGCGGGCACCCAAGACCTGAGGAAGGTTGCCTGTGTCTGGGCAGAGTTGGCGTCAGCCACTTGTATGCATTGGCGAGAGCTGGGCCGCCTGCTTGTGGGGGTGGAGGGGCATGGCTGTCTCGGGTCCCGGTCCAGTGTTCCCTCTGCTGGAAGAAGGCAGAGCTCTCTGCTGCCCTCCTTGATGCACCTCTGACCCACACTGGCAAAGAGAGGCCCTCCTGGCCAGGAGGGTCAAGAGCTGGAACCGAGTTCTCCAGGAGAAAAGGTCGCTGTCAGGAAAATCAGTTCAAGGACGACATAGTCAACAGAGACAACCGAGGGCCTTGGCCTTGCATTCCCATGGGACATCCAAGGAGCACTGGGAGTAGCGCCACTCACAAGGCCTTGGCTCAAATCCTCACTTCCCACATGCAAACTGGGTGACCACAACATGATGTGTGACCCCTGTGTACACAGTTCCACTGTATGCTGTGACAGGTTTATTCCTGCTGGAGAGGGGCATGTTCACCTCTACCCTGAGCCTGTACTCACTGATGTCCCATGTCACGTGCATTGTGGTGGAGTCTTCCCATGATAGGAAGGGGCAAAACGGCTCCTCCTGGGCCACAGTGCCAGCGGAGCTATGTGGACCTCCCAGCTGTGCCATGTGGCTGACAGTAGGTACCTGACCCAGAGGGCCAGTGAGAGAACTCATGGGACGCGCCAGTGACCACCCTCAGTGTGCGAGTCATCTGGTTCCCTGGTCCTGAGTGCTAGCTGTATATTCTTTGCAGAGGTGAGAGCCGGTGACACGCCCTGGCCTGGTGGCTGGCACTTAGGCATGGACAGCTTTTCAGCCTCCTGGCATCTTTCTCATACCAGGAAACATCCAACCGGTCAAGACTGTCAACGGGCTGGGCATGGTGGTACACACCTGTAATCCCAGCACTCAGGAGACTGAGGGAATTGGAGCCAGCCTGAGTTACAAAGTGAGTTCAAGGCCAGCCTGAACTGCATAGTGAAACCCTGTCTCAAAAAGACAAGGAACAAAAAGAGAGAGAAAAAAAACCAAAACAAAAACGACGGTTAGCCTACTTTGAACTTCAGGTTATGTAAGCAGGGGCCTGACCCAGAGGGCGAGGTTGTGTTGGCACTCACACAAGCCCGACCGCTAGGGAAGGTCTCTTACAAGGTGCCCTAGCGCCTTGCCTGCCCTCTCCTCGTCTGAGTCCTGCATTTCCCGCCAGAGCTGTGGCACACGCCCTGGAGTAGCAAGCTGCAGTCCTTAAGGTTTAGCGCCCAGTACTGGACCCTCCACACCAGCAAGTGCGTTTCCACTGGTTGGCTCAAGTTGGATGGCGTAACTCCTGGGAATGAAACACTCGTGCTCAACTGTGTTTTGCTTTTTAAGCTAACACTGGGTCCTGTGGGCTGGCCTGCCTGCCAATCTTGGTTCTCTGCAAACATTTCAGTAAGTTAATCAGCAGCAGAAATCCAGGGCCCTTTCGCAAGCGCTGAGTCAGACCTCTCTGAGCGCAGCCTGGTCCTCAAATGCCCCAGTCACACCTCAGTATTGCCTGGCAGCTGTCCTTGCTATCACCTCATGGCCATAGCTGCACAAGTGAGGTTTCTCTCACCAGCCAAGTGCTTCTTCCTACCGTCACCAAGATCACCTTTACTGGTGTCTCTCTTGCATTCGGCTTTGCACCCTTCCCTCCCCTGAGGTCCTCTGCTCCCATTAAGAGCTCTGCCTTCTCGTTTTTGCAGCCAGGGACCTCAGAGGCCCTCACTTTTTGCTTCCCGGGCAGAGGAGATGAGGTGTTCTGTTCCAGGGGCTGAGGAGCAGCTGGGGGCTCGCCCCCTAGAACAAAACAAGCAGCAGAGGCAGTGGGGGAGTTCACCTGTCAAGGTCACAGCGAAGCAGAGGAACTCATTTGGCTTGAGTGTTTTCCATGGGTCTCTTCTGAGATGTCAGTTCCTTCTCTGTGGCTATAACTATCTGAGATGGGACTCTATGGGGGTAGGGACCTGGAGGTCTGAGAGCATGGTAGTGGGGACGACGACGTTTTTGCAGCTCTGTGTTTGGTGGAAAAGCGCGATGAGTGTGTGGAGGACAGGACCAAGGCCCATGTGCTTTGGGTCAAACCCCTCTTGGCTAATGGACTGCTCTGGTGAGATATGCCAAACCCTCCGCAAAGGTAGAGTTGCTGTGGCTCACACACCTGCACAGGCCCAGGCGCAGCCCCTGTATACCAGCAGGGAGATTTCCATGAGTTCTGGTGGGGACAAACCCTACCCAGGCCACAGCCTCCACTCTTATTCTATGTGACATGGCCAGATGCCAGGAGGTCCCTGAAGCTTTTTTAAGCCATTGGATTGGGTGGCATCCAGCCTGGCTTCCGTGGAACTTTGGGTTCTGGGATGGCTTAGTTTCTTAGGGTCTTGCCTTCAGATACCAGGAAGCTACTACCCCCAGGGCAGCGGGGCCAGCACCCATGTCTGTGGGTCAAAGCACAGGACTATGCATTTCTCTCCTCCTTCAGTAGCACCCAGTCTCTCTACACCGCCTCAGGGACAGCTCATGGGCACGGCGAAAGCCAGTGCACATCTCCACCTCTCCGAGTCAGCTGCATGGCCCAGGCCCTCTTCCCCTGCCCTGGCTGCCTCTGGGACTCTCAGAGGTTGGGGGCCACGGAAGGAGGCCAGACAGTCAGGTTTGTATAAGCAAATAATACCAATGAATAGCAGTCCTGAATGGAGAAGTGGAAAAGAACTCTTGGAAGTCAATTAAAAAGACTTTTAAATGATTTCAGAAAATAAACATTGCAAGATACCTTGCTCCCTAGCATTACAGATAAAAGATGGGTGTTAGATGAAAGCCTCATTTCAATTGTTGACCTTGGGACTTTCCCAGAATCAGAAGTGCGATACTTTGCCACAAGGAAGGCAAATATTGTGTATTACAAACATGTACTAATAAAAGAAATACTCAAGCCCCTCATTCCTGGCCCCCTCCCCTGTCCCAGCTAACTCTGGAGTGGCTTCTGTCTTCTGGCTGTTCCATGATCCGGAGCCTGCTATGGGGACACTGAGTCAGGGAATGTCACATCCAGGTAGGAGTGGGGCCTTGGCACCTCTGGAGAAGGAAGGCTGGGGCTTGCTTTCTCCCTCGAGGCAGGCAGCAAGCGTCCTCCCCCTCCACAGCTGCTATGAGAACACTGGGAGAAGAGTACAGCCTCTAGGAGCCACGAGCAGTAGCCCCAGTGGCTGCCTGTTTCTAAAATGATAAAGAGCCCTCAATATTCCACCCCCAAACTCAGAGGCCGAGGGAGGCTTTATCTAAGTCAAGCTCCAAGGACTCCACAATCAGCCACTCCCTCATCACTGGAGGGACAGAGCTGGACCTGAGGTGGCAGGGGGAGGTGCTCATTAGACCTGGAAGGGACTTTTTTCCCCCTCATGTATTTGATACATGGTACAGGGTCTCACTATGCAGCTCGGACTCATAGTGATCCTATTTCCAGCCTCCCCAGTGCTGGGATTACAGGTGTGTGCACGGCCAGGCCAGGTCTGGTGGCCAGTTCAGTGCACCAGGCATGGGGCTGGCACCATGTGGTGCTGGGGATGGTCCCTGCGCTTAGTCTGCTGAGCTGTCTCACCAGCCCAGAACTACTCTCTGTTAGCAGGAATCATTCACTCTTCAAGAGGCAGCAAGTTGGATAGGGTACTACTGGACTGTCGTCACAGCCACAGAAACATTTTACTTGAAAAAGTCACACAAAATAGTAAAAAATGTAGATCACAGCATCTGGGGTAGATGAGACAGCAAATGGTACTACAAAGCACACATCAATTTAAAATTTTATCATAAGAAGTCAGGTGACCTTTTACACCCAGTGTAGGACAAAAAAGTGGCATTTAAGGTCATCTTGCCCTACTTACCATCCCTTTGGGATATTTCCATGTAACTGCAGAAGGAAAGCTCTCCTGAAAGCAGGAACCAACAGAAACCTTGGCTCAGGCCAGTCAATCTCAGGGCACATTTTTCTGGCAATGTCAGCCCACTGTGACAAGCTAAGGGAGGGGAGAAGACTCAGCCATGGTGGGACAGCAGGTGTGGCTCCTTGGCTGCAAACGGGTGGTTTGTGATCAAGACATACGTTTTATGGAGGGTCCATTACGATCTCAACAAAGACCTGTCTAGGCACAATCTAATATAGAAATGATCAACATCACGTTGAGCAGTGTGCCTAGCACAGGGCTGTATCCGATGGGAGGCAGATTTTCCATGTCTGAGCATGGAGCCAGGTCTCAGAAATTCAGCTGGTGCCTGGGCGTTCCAGATGCAACTTGGGTCCCTTCACAGCAGAGTCCCTATGGCTCTGAGAATGGCTAAGAGTTTGGGGCAGTGGGCGGAGGGGCCCTGAGGCCCTCACCAGCCCCTGAGGGATATAACTGAAGAGAACTGAAAATGGAACTGGAGCTCCTAACTTATCCTTTGAACTCAGGTTCTTCAGGCTGCAGCAGAATGTTTAATAAAAGAAATGTCATACCTGATAGTTCTCTTTACTTCTAGTATTGCTTTAAAGCTTCTCCACACTTCCTCTTCCCACCACTAACAAACCAAAATGGAAAGTGATGCTTTAGGCAGTTGCTAGCTGGCTCTCACTCACCATGCAGGGCGAGATGACACAGCAGGAGGCAGAGAGAGAAGGTCTGGCCCTGGCTTGTGTCTTAGAAAAGTCACAGGCCTTGAGGGACAAGGCGAGGAGGACACGGGCTTCCAAGAGTGCTTGTGTCCAGAGGACAGGTCTGCCTGGCTGGACTCTGAGGCTACTGCCAGAAAGTGGTTTTTATGAACACAGAACTGTGCCTGACTTCCAGAGCCCAGGGTAGAGCAGCAGCAAGGGAGATATGGATCTGGGTCGAAGAAAGAGTGTCCTTGTCCCTGTTGTCACCCAGGCTGCCAGGAAGGGCTCTAATGCGTCACTGGGATCTCCAGGAGTGGGTCCGGGGCTCCCGGTGACAGCTGTAACAGGAGAGGAGCAGTGACCAAGCCTGGATGGGTCAATGGCCACCTCGGCAGATGTCACTGTAATGAAAGGGTGACCCGGAAGCCCACCACTCTGATCTCTGGCGCTGACTGGTACCAGCAACACCTCCCCAGTGCCGTGTAGACAGGCGGGCGCTGACACCTGCGTTGGCAAGGGAAGACCTGTTTCTATCTCTTCACACCCGGGTCTGTGGCCGAGGCTCTGTGCTCACTGCACGTGGCTCCTGTCTTTGACAACTATCTAGCAATGAGGCAGCTTCCAGCAAAGGTGAGGCAGAGCTGTGGCCCCACGCTTGGCCGTGGAGCTGCCCGACAGCACCTTCTTCTCAGCCACCCATTGCACAGGCAAGACAGCAGTGGCTCGGTGGGCACTGGCACAGGATGGAGACGGGCTGGAGCAAGGTGAGGCTCTGGGTCCCCTCGGTCCGTACATCCCATCACCCCAGGGGGCACGGGGACCACCCGCGTGGGCCAGGAGGGCTGATAGGCCTCACTCCTGACCACCAGTCAGTTTGTGAAACAGGTCCTCGTCGAGCGTTTCGTTCTGGTCCTTGGAACGGGTGGAGAGGAAAATGTAGCCCCCGATGCACTCGTGCACCACCTTGCAGTCCGCGCTCAGGCAGGTAAAGGCGATGGACACGTTCTGGTCAAACTCGATGGCCACCTGGAAAAGGGCGCGGGGAGGCTCAAGCTCGGGCGAGGAGCCAGGAAGCTGCTGCTTGGCTGGCGCTGGCCACCTGGCCGAAGGTGGCTGGGAGACGCGCATGGTGACCACAGACACCCTTGCCCCAAGGGAGAAACCAGGTCTTTGCTCTCAGCGCCCTCTTGTGGCATCAACTTTGACGCGCATCTGGTAAAATACTTCCAACACATACAAGGGTGACTGAAAAGCCCGGTGAATATTTAAACAAGTAAAGAAAATATTACAGTAAAAGATGCATTTTCAAGAGGATCAGAAAGCTGTGTTTGAAGTTAGGGGGAAGTATTTTGAGTATACTAGGGTGGTTAATGGAAATGGGTCTTTTACTGTAATTTTTTTTTTGCGGAACCGGGGATTGAACTCAGGCCCTTGCGCTTACTGAGCCATCTCCCCAGCCCTCTAATTTTTAAAAGTTAAACATTCACTGTAATTTTGATCACACTTCTTTTTTTTGCGGAACCGGGGATTGAACTCAGGCCCTTGCACTTGCCAGGGAAGCGCTTATTCCACTAAGCCATCTCCCCAGTCCCATGATCACACTTCTTGATCAAACAATGATGGCAATTTCTGTCAAATAAAACACTACCATGGGTTCTGATTGACCTTAGTTACCAGATCTGACACTGTGTGACATTTAGTTCTTCCCCAAAGCAAAGATGACTTTTGAAAGAACTTCCCAAGCCTTCCCTTGGGGAGGGGCATGGAGCTTGGCACACTCTTTCAAGCAGAACAAATGCCTGCCTGGATTTTCTTTTAGCCCCTGCCCCTTCCGAGGTGAAAGTCATAAATTCCAAGCAAGAAATAGCAGTGGTTCTTCTCATTCCCATGGGAATCACCACTGAATTCTTAAAACGACATTACCCAGCTCTACTTGGTTTAACCAAGCTTGGGCCTGGTCCAGGAGATCTTAAAATGCACCAAAGTTTTAGAGCTGCAACATTATGGACATTTGCCGGGGAGATAGCTCAGTAGAATAAGTACTTGCCTGGCAAGCACAAGGTCCTGAGTTCTATCCCTGGTCACAA